ATTTAGAGGAGTTGCAAACTTCTCCTCAGCAGCTGCCAAATGACCAGTTTACAAAATGGTTACCGTCACACTGTGGTAAGTTACAATTTGGTCAATATTCAACCGCAGTACAGTGGTACCTCGGGTTAAGTACTTAATTCGTTCCGGAGGTCCATTCTTAACCTGAAACTGTTCTTAACCTGAAGCACCACTTTAGCTAATGGGGCCTCCTGCTGCTGTCGCACTGCCAGAGTACGATTTCTGTTCTCATACTGAAGCAAAGTTCTTAACCCGAGGTACTGTTTCTGGGTTAGCGGAGTCTGTAACCTGAAGCATATGTAACCTGAAGCGTATGTAACCTGAGGTACCACAGTATATGACAGGGGAAACCAACAGTGCCCTCCAGATGTTGTGTCATACGACTTCCATCACCCTCAGCCAGTACACCCAAAGGTCAAGAATCGTGAGTGTAGTCCAGCAACATCTGTAGGGAGCTGTTTTGGCTGCCCCTGCTCTAGAGCATCCTTCTGCAACCCAGTGCCCTCTAGATGTGTACTGCAACTCCCTTTAGCCCAGGGTTTCCCAAACTTGGGTCTCCAGCTGTTTTTGAACTACAGTTTCCATCATCCCTGACTGCTAGTTGTGCTAGCTAGGCATGATAGGAGCTATAATCCCCCCCCAAAAAAAGCTGGAGAAATACTGCTTTAGCTCAAGTCAGTCGCTGTAGTACAGGATTGTGCAAAACATCAGGAGGACACCAGGTTGAGGAAGGTTGCCCTATTGTGTTACCACATAGGTGCCAGGAAACAACCTGGTGGCTATATTCTGTCTCTTCTAACCTAGACAGTACGCCTCTGAACACCAGTGGCTGAGAATCACAAGTGGAGGGAGTGCTATTTGGCTCTGCTCCTGCTTTTGTGCATCTCATAAGCATCTGATTGGTTACTGTGAGAATAGGATGCTGGATTAGATGAGCCTTTGGCCTGATCCAGCAGGGCTCTTGTTAGATTATTGGTACTGCAGTGGTAACCCATAGAGCCAGGGTAGACTGTGTGCAACTCTTCCGATCTTTCAGGCTACAGTTTGAGTCACCCCTGCTCGGTGGCCAAACTGGCTGGGTGTGATGGGACTTGTGCTCCACAACACCTGGAGGGCACCATGTTGCCTCTCTCAGCAGTAGAAGAGTGGCAAGTTAGACCCCTGCCATAGAGGCCATTGTCTTATCTCTCTGCAGGTGGTTTGTGCTGCAATCTCGACCTGGCAAGAAGGAGAAGACCAGAGGACAATTGCAGCTGGACATTCAGTTCTTACAGATCTCATCACAAGCCAGTGAGCCAGCGTTAAACTCTCGTGGGCCCTGGGCTTTATTCTCCAGATTCTATGGGAGCAGGAAGGGCAGACGGTACAAGGTGTACAAAGAAGCTCCGTCTCAGTCACCCAGCTTGGTATGTGAAGCAGGACAGAACCTGTCCCAGTTACTGAGTTCTCTTCTGCAAGGGGTGCAGGCCCTTTCCTTTTTCAGCCAGAAGAAGCTGAATGCACTTGGGCCGTAAACTCCACTTTATAAGCAGTTCTGTAAACAACGTGCATAACTGGCAAAGTGTTCCTAGAATGCAAAGGCAACCCTGTTGGCCCACAACCATCATTCAGAGGGCCTTCTTGGTGGTGGCGCCCGTTCTGTGGAACGCCCTGCCGCCAGATGTCAAGGAAATAAACAACTACCTGACATTCAGAAGACATCCGAAGGCAGCCCTGTTTAGGGAAGTTTTTAATGTTTGAAGTTTTATTCTGTTTAATATTCTGTTTGGAGCCGCCCAGAGTGGCTGGGGAAACCCAGCCAGATGGGTGGGCTATAAATAATATTTATTTATTTATTTATTTATCAATCAATCAATCAATCAATCAATCAAAACCCACATTAGGGTAATACTGTTATGTGGCCAATCAATATGTCAAAAAACGGTGTGCAAGCTTTTCAGTTCTCCAGAATTCTTCATCAGGCAGACAGTAAGCAGAGCAAATGGTGGGTGGGAGGAGGTGGCGGCTGGTGGTAAAGTCATCACTGTACGTATGAGTCTTTAGATGGAGTGAGGTATGAGACTGTAGACGTTCAAATGAGGCTGCATTAGGTATTAGGGAGGCATCAGTTGCACTATGGTCTCTTGGGAAGCAGAAAACCCTCTTGGTCTACTGCCTTAGGCTACAGTCCTATATACCCACTGACTAGTAGTTAAGCATCCCTGGACTCAGGTGTGCTGGTCAGCCAAGTAATCCTGTTCCTCAAATAGAATAATACTGAGCAAGACTTCCTGAATAGTGACTAACCGCCAAGGCCCACTTTGTTTCCATTCCTTGCAAATGGTGACAGACTTCGCTTCCCTTTTTGTTGGTTAAAAAACCCAAAACATTTCTCTAATAGGGATAAGAACATTGGGAAGAGAGAAAACCTAGTCAACCACGTCCTAGTTCTCTTTATCAAGCATCTCACTATAAGCATCATTTCTGGCTGGGGATGGTAGGCAGTGACCCTGGTTGGGCACATTTGAATAGTGGTGAATTAAGCTTCAGAGCTGCTGCCTAACTGTGTATGCTTCCCTTTTATACAGACAAACGACGAGGATTCATCTTCCTCCAGTATGACCACTGAGCTAGAGGCCTCATCAATGAAGTCTGGATCCAAGTGCGGCAGCTCCTTGCACATGGTAGCAGGTGACTACGGAGAGGAGGAAGTGCCCAAGCTGTATAAGGCAGCACTGTGAACACCTTACCAACTGGAGGGAGTTACCTCCATGTAGATGTTGCCAATGTAGTACCTTCCAGATGTTGTGGACTAGATCCCACCATCCCTGGCCACTGACCACGCCTGCTGGAGCTGATGGGAGTTGGCATCCAATATCTGGAAGGCACAACTGCAGGAGGCTGACCTGTGAGATCGCTTTTCACAGGCATGCACTAGTTCCAACCTTGCTTTAGAAAAGGAGCAACTAATGTAGTAAACCTTTAAGATCTGCAGTGCAAACTGAACTGAAACATAGCTGACCCTCTTTCTCCAGGGAAGTAGACCCAAACTATTGCTTAGCTGATCAAACAATTGCTAAGCTGTGTTATCATTGGTGAGCCCTTTTATTTCATAAATGAGACAGCATCCCATCTTCAGCAACTGGCTATTACCCACCCACCACTGCTGGCCACATTCAGCAATGGTGAGAGGGTCTCCAAGTCAGTGCCAATCCCGTCACATATCTCTGCCTGCCACACGTGCTCCATGCTAATCTATGCCTCACGTGTGCTTTCAGTACATGAGGGTTTGCTCATTCAGATCAGTACCTACTTCTTGCCCACCCTCTAAAGTCTGAGGACAGGCTGACAAGCCAAGAGTTCCACTGTGCACTCTCCAATTTTGCCCTGGTTCTTTTAGCTACAGGTAGGTGGAAATTGTATGACATGCCTAAAAAATAACAGTTTGTCACACACTCTCTCTCTCTCTCTCTCTCTCTCTCTCACACACACACACACACACACACACACACACAGTATGTGACATGGGGGAATGTGTGCTAAGGGAACTTTGGTTTTGCACTCGGAATAAATTATGCATATCAGTTTGAGTTGCGTTACTCAACTGCACTGTGGATTGTCTGCAAAGTCTGGAAGATTTAGACAAGGACTAGATTAGTTGGGAACAGCAAAGCAGTCAGCACATATAGAAGCCTGGAAGTCAGGGGAAGTTGCTAAAGGTGCACCACCGCCAGCTGAAAGTCAATCTTGATTTCCATGTACCCCTTATGGGGTGCATGGAACTGATTATTTTTTTTAATCATGCCCTGCACTCTGTAGCAGATACTGGGAATGGGCACCCCAAGACACCTATGACATATTTTGGGAGCTCTTTTCACAGAGTTCTAGAATCTCACATCTACTAATACATCACACTCCAGCTGCAAGCAAGCAATGAAAAGTTTTGTTAAGTGGGAACTGCTTTTGAGGTGTAGAAAATCACAGTTCTGTAACCCTTTTGACTCTACCCCCACCCTTTACAGCAACCTCGGCTGGCAAAAAAACTACCTCCAAAACTCAGCTGCAGAAGCTTATTTCGTGCAACTACAAAGAACTCACCCCTGATGCTAAGAACCTGGCAGCCAACTCAAGTCAGTCTGAGCACCCAAGTACCCTTGAACAGTTCAGCAGCATATTTACTCAACAGCGCAAGAAAAAATCTAAGCCTCTGAAAGAGGAGAGGAACCTGGAGGCGGCAGGCATTTCTATGGAGGCTTGGCAAACATCTCTTCCACCTCTCCACGTTGCAGGGCCCAGTGACATCCCTCCACGAGCACAGACCCTTCACCTGTCAACAGTCAGCCTCCAGCAGACAACCAGCACTGCTACAGCCAGCTCTGTGACCAGGCACTTCCACAGGTGCCGCATGCACCTGAGTAGGAGCTATCAGTTCTTTCGCAGGTGTTTTGGCCTGGTTCCCTGATGCTGGGGGGGTCTGTCTTTTGTCTCTCGTTCTCTTGGCGAAGGAGATTTATTGGAATAGTCACAGTGTACAAATGCATCATATTCAGACAATATATCTCTTTACTTGTGTGGCTAGTTTCTTTCATTTTTAAGGCGTGCCAGGCAACATCAGGGCCAATCAGGGATCTGAAGAATGGGTTTGGATAAGGGTTTCGGATTAGAAAGATTTAATGGGCCAGAAAAGGGAGACTGTGCAAATCAAAATGCCAGATACAGTGGAACCTCGTGTCATGTACCGTCCTCCCTGCAAACGTTTTGGGTTACGAGTTCTGCTAACCCAGAAGTAGATGCTCCCGGTTGCGAACTTTGCCCCGGGATGCGAGCGGAAGTCGCACACCGGCCGCGCAGCAGCAGCGGGAGGCGCCGTTAGCGAAAGCGCACCTCATGTTACGAGTGGTTTCAGCTTAAGAATGGACCTCCAGAACGAATTAAGTTCGTAACCGGAGGTACCACTGTACTACTTACAGCAATGCCTATGTGCACACACACACACTGATTTTCTTTCATGAGGCACTCGCCTTAATGGCTTTATTGAAGCAAACCAACAGCTTTCAATGTCTCAAAGACCCCAATAACAAGACCCTTTACCACGATGGGTCTAGGTCAGGTGGTAAGTCACGATGCTCTCTGAGCCAGAGCACAAGTGTCCACTTAGCAGGAGACCTCATAGGAAGAGATGGGGTGCGCAAGAGCTTCACAGCAAGTCTCTATACATATTTTGAAATAGGAGAGCAGCAAACTTCCAACAAGTTTACCTGATAGTGATTCTGTAAAGTCCTTTAAGCATCAGCCTGTGCAACAAGTCTATAGGTCCCAATGCCTTGTTATCATGTAGTGTTGGAGCACTGGCTGATATAGGCAGGATGATTCAGTCACTGACCTGCCTCTTAGTCTCAGATTTTCTTCCATCTGTTGAGATGTAGGTTGCCAAGTCAACATCCTTCTGAACAGGCACTCAGCCCATTTAATCTTGCCAGCATCTCTGCTTTCACTGTCACGGAGGTCATGCTCTGCATCTGACCTGTCAACTCATGTGGATCCTCAGACCTTTTGTTGTAACCATTGGACCACAGGCATCCATGCCCTGTTGCTGGCTCCTGCAGAAGGACCTGCCTTTGGAGAGTCCAGACACAATTCTGATAACCAGCTGCTTCAGCAACGCAAGAGTCTATTCAGGAGTCGGCTCAGCCAAATGTGCACCAGGGAGTCTCACTGGTGTCGCATTCTAGGAAGATGTTGAGGACTGTACAGGGAGATTCTGCCACAGTCAACCGAGTTCGTGACTCCACTCTGTACTGGAGGTTGGTCAAGCCTCCATGACGGTCCACCTTGAACTGCTCCTACATGGGAACAAAAATGCCACACGTCATACACACAGGTCCAGAGTAGGAGAGCAAAAAATGACATCATGAAGAGGGCTTGTGTGAAGCAGAGCAAGCAGGGAAGGAGGCTTAAGTGTTGTGAAGGATAGAGGCACAGACTTAAAGCTCAGTTATGGCAAAGGGAGGGGTCTAAGGCGATCACAATCAAGGGCTCTTCTATTCTGCAGCTTCAGAACACCAAAGGTGCAATCAGTAAGTTATGCAAGTCTCCATAAATTCATTGGCATTGCACAATTCCTATTACTTTGTTTATGGGAGACTTCTGCCAAGTTCCTTTTAAGAAAAACTAGGGAGAAAAGTAGAGACACACTTGCACCAAGCTGAGAAGGCCTGACTATAGACTACTAGGAACCTTAGACTTTATCTACTTTCAGCAAAATCTGCCAACTTTGATTCAAAATGTTTCCCTATAATCATATGGATTTTAAAAGGGTGGAAGAGGGGAAGATGAGATTCTCAATATTTTGTCCTATCCCCAAATCGGCTCCATAGGGTTGGGGAAGCCTCTAGAACAGATTTAGGGAATATGCAGAGAGAGGAGGAGAATGTCCCGTTGTGCAGAGAGAAATATGTGCACCGATGTAACATTCACTGTAGCGCTATACTGAATTCCACCCACTGTTATTTATTTCATTTATGTACCACTTCCTGTGAGGCATCCTGAAGCAATTTACAACACAAGCTTTGTTCAAACTGAATGGGTGGGCATCATTTTTGAATTTTTTTATTTCATTTTAAGGAAGGCAAAGCTAATACACATGAACACTGGGAAGAAACAGATCAGAGGCACTGAAGGACGGAGATACTGGCTGCAAAAGGAACACTCCTTGGTTTCTAATGCTAGCATTTATTGCTTACATTGTTAAGTTTTATCCACAGTCATCAAGGATAGAAATGTGTGTTTTAAAATTAAATATTTTGAAAAGTCAATACTGTCTACATTTTGTAGAAAAAATCTATACCAGATTCATGAGTTCCATGAGTTTCAGGCCATACCTATTTCTGTGCCTTCTGATGTAACCATCTTGTTCAATGCTGTTCCCTCCAGGCTAAGTGAAAGCAACAGTGCAGGACTTACTACAGAGCTATATGGCCAGCTCCACATAAGAAAAACAATGTATTTTTAGTTCCAACTCGCAGCCACCTGCTTCCTCCATCTTCCACATGAGAAACTCCCACCTGCTTTTGGGAAGCAATGCGCTTCTGGTCTCTCTTGCGCCAAGCTGGGTCATGAAGATGCTGGAATGTCTTATATCCACTTTTAATTCCTGATGGCCGGAACAGCTGAAATAAAAAGTTGGAGCCTACATTGAAGCCAGAAAGCTCTGTCCAAAACAGAATTCACACACCGTGGCAGAATAACAGGCTCAAATCTCACCCAGAACTAGAGTCCTAAGGTCTCAAACTACAGTGAAAGCCATTCTGCAGCCTCACCTGAAGTCCAGCGCCTCTGATGCGGCGATAAAACTCATCATCCTCACGGCCCCAGCCCCAGAAGCGGTTCGACATTCCATTACACTGAAACAACAATAAAGGCACAGTTGAAACCAGAAATATTTTCCCTCCTTCAAGTCTTGGGACAGAGACAGTAAAATCTGCTGCTGTCTTACTAAGCCACAGCTAACACCATCACTCCAAGACTCTTCGTCTTCAGGATTAAATGGAGTAGAGCGCATCATAAGCCATCAAATGTACAGTGCCAAGTCTAACCCCCTAACTGATTCTGGGATTGCTCAGAAGGTAGAGCACAAGACTCTTAATCTCAGGGTGGTGGGTTCAATGAAAATAACTAGCAAGGACTTTGTCCTTCTGTGGGTTGTATAAAATATCCCAGGAGCCCAAAAGAAAGAACTTAGGTCTTACCATTCGATAGTGCTGCTTGGTGAGCAGCAAGATGCCACCTACGTAGGTGTTATAGTGATAGAGAGGGTGCAGCTCCGGCGATGCCACGTGGAAAGGGCCTGCAGCTGGGAAGCCGTAGTCCAATTCCTCATTAAGAGGTAACAAGTCCACATCATGCATGGCAATGTAATCTGTGTCATTGCCACTTTCAAGGAAGCCCACGTTGATCAGAGATGCTCTGTTAAACCTGCCCAAGAGACCAATGCAAGCAGATGGGACCTATGTCAGAAAATTATATTCAGGAAAGCTCAGCCCTCACTGTCAAAAGTGTTCAGCTTGAGCACCCAGCCACTGTTTGATGATCTACGCTGTCCCTAGGAACTCACTGGGAGCTGTCATCTGGAGTTTTGGAGTCACACTATGCAGATGACACCCACCTCTCTCTCTCCCATCTGAATCATGAGAAGTGGCTTAGGTGCAACATAGGTAGTAGTGGTTAGCTGGATATGCACCAGCTAATTGATACTGAATAGGTATAGGTGGCATGTGTACTGGGTTCTCAATTCCATTCTGGGTTGGGTTAAACTCCCCTAGAAGGAGCAGGCTCGTAACTTGAGGTACTGCTGGATGCAGCATGGTCACTGGAAACCCAGGTGGCCTCAGGAGCTAGAAATGCTATTTCCAGCTACAGTCCCTTTTGGACGGAGATGACTTCGCCACTGTGTTCCATGTTCTCTTAACTTCCAGACTGGATCATTGCAATGCACTCTACATGGGGCTGCCTTTGAAGAGGACTTGGAAACTTCAACAGGTTCAAAATTCAGGAGCCAGATTACATACTGGGGTTGTCTTTAGAACTCATATAGCTCCTGTTTTAAAACAGCTGCATTGGCTGTTAGTTTCTGGGCTCATGCTACTGTTCAAAGCTCTAAATGGTCTAGGCCCCAAATAACAGACACTGCCTCCATTCCTACAAATCGCCTCAGGTGCTGAGGGAGCCCTCTTTGTAGTCTCACCACTCTCAGAAGTTGGTGGGGTAGTTGCTCAGAAGAGGGCAATCTCTGTGGCAGTCCCTGAGTCATGGAATCCCCTCCTCACAGAAGTGTTCTGGCACCCTCACAATGCAACTTTTGGCATAAGCTGAATATGCACCTTTGATATCTGAGATGTGTATTTCCAGGACCCACACTTTTCCAGTGACTGATTTGTTTTACAGTCTGTTTTAATTCTGAATTTTAAATTCCCACTCTAGGACCTGCTAGTGAAGGGTTGGTAATAAATTTCAAAATAGCAACAACAATAATAGTACTAGATAGATGGATACGAGAGACTTCAGATATGATTTCAAGGTTACACATCTCACAGGTGGGGAAATGCAAATATTTATTTTAGATAATACAAAGGCCCAATGTTTCCTTCCATATCAATATCATGTCCAAAGTCACTCACAGAAGAATGTAATAATTTGGGATTCAGGTTAGGTTGAAACATTGAGGGGGAGGGACAGCATGGGGTTCACATTCACCCATACCTTACAGTACCTGTAATGATCCACCTGGTTGAGTATGAAGATATGATGGCGAATTTTCTTCCTGCTGAGGAAGCGATGCATGTGAGGCACAAAAGCCAGCAGCTCTTCAAAGCGCTCCCGGAAAGGCACCAACACTGCTAGACGGTGGGGTCCCCATGATGGGTCATCAGGAAGCTGAGGTAGAGGCTCCAATGTGCAGGGTTTCTGAGGCAGTGTAGCTGCAGCTCTTTGACTTCTAGTCACATCCCCAGAACAACTGAGCTGCAGCCACAACAGGGAGAGAAAACCCAGCAACAGTGCAACAAAAAAGAGTTGAAAGAGAGAAAATTTCCGGGGTAGGAAACCAAACAGCCGACAGGACCTGAAGCAAAATCAGAATAGGGCAAGTCAACACAGTGAAACATGACAGATAATTCCATGTGCAAAAGAAGGCAAGACAGAAACAAATTGCCACAAGCTTCTCTTAAGCAAGCATCACCTGTTAAGGTGGGGATCATGACAGTGGCTGGGATTCAGGTCCCTCATTCAACCCATGCCACAACAGCAAGAACTGTGGAAAAATACCACTGTCACAATGTGAAAATAAAATAGGTAAGACTGGAATGACATGGAAAGATACATGGCCCTTTCAAATCTTAAAAGTACTTCACATACCATTTCAGTTATCCTTACAAATATTCATGTGAAGTAACTCAGTCTAATTCCTATAATGTTTTATTTTGGGGTGGGGTGGGGTAGGTAAAGGTAAAGGTACCTCTGCCCGTATGGGCCAGTCTTGACAGACTCTAGGGTTGTGCGCCCATCTCACTCAAGAGGCCGGGGGCCAGCGCTGTCCGGAGACACTTCCGGGTCACGTGGCCAGCGTGACATTGCTGCTCTGGCAAGCCAGAGCCGCACACGGAAACGCTGTTTACCTTCCCGCTAGTAAGCGGTCCCTATTTATCTACTTGCACCCGGGAGTGCTTTCGAACTGCTAGGTTGGCAGGCGCTGGGACCGAACAACGGGAGTGCACCCCGCCGCGGGGATTCGAACCGCGACCTTTCAATCGGCAAGCCCTAGGCGCTGAGGCTTTTACCCACAGCGCCACCCGCGTCCCTTATGGGGGGGGGGGCAGAGAAATAATGGCTTGTCTAAGCTGCCAAGCAAGCTTATGGCTGAATCACTTTTTGAACTAGGGACCTCCCAGCTCTTAGATCAAACTACATACTTACCTGGGAGTAAGCTTCACAGAAAATTGTTACTTACTACTGAGTAAACATGCACAGAAATATTCTGTTAAGTTTCCCCCTATGTTACGCTAACTCCAAGAGCTCATTCTATCCCCCCATATTAATCCGAAATGGGCTCTTTAAAACCATTGCATGTACCTTGTGCAAAGTGAAACCCGCCAACTTGAAAACCCTTCTTCCTAACAACTAATGTGTTGCCAATTGCCAGTTACTTGGGAGAAACTTCTTCCTGACTCAAGAGACAACATGGATTCCCTTACTACATATCTAGGTTAAAAAAAAGATTGCTATATTTGAGAAGAGGAACGGCAGGGTGAGATAAGGGGAAGTATACAGCCCTCTTAGACGTCTCTCCCAGCTCAATCTCCATAAAACGCCTCCAGTACAAGCTCCCCGCGCCCCGCTTCAAGTGCTCCTCTCCCTTTCCCCCCCATATAATGCTTTCCATTCATTCCTATAGGGGAAGTAAACTATTCGTGGAGGAAAAAGCAAAGAGATGTGCCACTCGGTGTATAGTTAAGGCGGGAACGAAGCTTGTTTCTCAGCCATTCAGATTCACGCCCATCCTAACCTCCGCAGCACCATTTCTTGACCGCTCAAAACTGCGACAAAAAGTCGGAAGATAAAACAGATATTTCAGGACTGAAGCTTAGACGCTGAGCCTTCATGGTCCCCGAGCGCTTCTCATCCATCGCCCCCCCCACCCGCTTCCTAGTTCTCCTCTCCCTCGCATAAATTTCCTCTCCCTTAGGATACTTACCCGCTACCCGCGCGGCGATACATAGTAGACTTGCGCCGGGACGGGAACATCCTACTGCCTTCCCGGCAGGACTCCCCGCCCAACCTGGCCGGGACACGTTGGCCAGGACACCAGGTCCGTCGACTAGAGCGGTCCTCTAGAAACGTGCTCCCCACTGGCTGTTCCGCCTAACACTCGTTCCTACACGAGGACAGCTACTCCGAGGAACCGCAGATTCGCCGGTTTCCCGGCAGAGGTGGAGCACACAGAAAAAATAGAGGAGGAGGAAAACGAGGCAGTAGATCTCAGTGGTATCAGGCAGCTTATGGGGAGCTTCTAGACAGTCCGGAATGAGCAAATGAATTAACAAAGTTGGGGTAAGATGAAGGCATATAATATAACTAGTTTTTGTGAAAACATTTTTTTTAAAAAAGTTGTACTGTAGTTGGCAACAAAGTATTGATACCCTATTACCAAAACTCTTACGTACATGCATTTTGGGACTTCTGAAGAAAGTGTAAGATCTTGACATGAAATAAAGTTAGCAGTCATTGTTAGAAGGAAATACCATCTTTATTGACTTCTCTCTCATTTGCTTTACAGTAGCAACCAGGGCTAAAATAGCCACAATACAAAAAAAAACAAGTATGCGCCACTCATTAAAACTGGTCCTTCATCCATAAAGCTTGAGTTGTTTAATCTCCTACATAAAAGCTTGAACTCCTACACTGCAACATCTAAAATTGTCACCCCATTAAGTTGCCTTAGTTGGTCACAGCAGAGTGTAAGAAACAGGCAACTTCACTTCTTTCACAGGAGCACAGTCAAGGTGGCTTTAGGGAAGTTGGGATCTTAGACCACTTCAACTGGATGGTATAGCCAGTGGCACAAACAGACGATTGCAAATATCACAAACCTGGGAAACTTAAAAAAAAAAAAACCTCAGATGAAAGAGACCCTTTCCAACAAACCCGGTTCCAATAGGAGGACACCAAGCACTCACTCATCTAGTGCAGCAATCTTCATTCATTCTAGAGCAGGTCTGGGAACCTTTGGCTGAACCTTTGTTACTGAACTACAGGTCCCATCAGCTGCAAACAGCATGGCTAATGGCCAGGGATGGTGGGAGCTGTAGTTCAGCATCATTTGGAGAGCCAAAGGTTCCCCACACCTAGTCTAGAATGTGCTTTCCTATGCTCTCAACTGTTTTCTTTTTTAAGATAGATATTGGCACAGTCATGAAGCTTTATAATTAAACCCAGTTTAATGCCCTCAAAGAATTATTCTGAACATCTTCAGCACTTCAATGTTTAGCAAGTTCTGCTATCTGAAAATCAAGACAGTTCAGGCCAGAGCAGATTATGTCTGGCTCAGAACTCCTTAGCAACTTGAGGACATTCACAAGTATCTCAGCAATATACCACCACCATTAGATTTGTAAATCTAATAACACAACATATTCAAAGCAGCAAGGGGGGGGGGAACCATTAAATTTCAGAAATTGAAAGGCTGGCGCCATTTGAATTGCAGAAGTCACTGCAGTTGTTCCCTTGCCTCTAGTAAACAATTCTGGTTTTTGTATGGCAACAAAAAAAATCCCTTTCACATTTAGGGAAGTGTACACTTGTCTCTACTTTCATGTAAAATCAGTATGGTAATTGTGAAGCCAAAGCTGAGCAAAGAATATGCTACCCTTTTAAGTTTTCTGCTCAGCCATCATGACACACAAAATATGAGCTTCAGACCTCTATAGCAAAAAGGAGGCATGGATAGGTGCTGCTGTGATGGGAATTTAACCATATCTGCACTTTCTCTGTCTCCAATGTGTCTCCTAAAAAATCCATCTCAGATACGCCAAGCCAACACAGCCACTTCTCCAAAGGCTTAGTCACCAGTAACATTTACAAACAAAAGACACTGGACACCACTTAAATAGTCTACATACGGTGGCTAGGTCACCCATAGTGATATTGGCCTGAGAACAAGCTGCATGCCTCCCAACACACATGATCCTTACCCCTCTCATGCACCCAAATTGGGGGCTCGTTACAACAGTTTCTCATAACATCCGAACTTAGGCTTAAGTGCTGCAGCTCACAAGTGTTATGTTTCCATTCCTAACAAGCACGATGTAAGTGTCCAAGCTGGGTGCAATGAGAGGAGGAGAAGGGGAAGGAAGAGTGTATGGACACATGGTTCAATCTTAGGCCAATAATCCATGGTTGACCAGTTCAAAATTAGTCTCATTGAGATTTAACCATCTTTTTGGCTCTCCCCCTAGTTTAAATGTAACAGTCTTCTGGGTCTCCTCCCTCCCAAATAGCAATCTCAAACTTTGATAGGGGAGGGGTCATGAGAAGATGCTTCAATAATTTTGGAATTATAATCAAACCATATGAATTTGTTGGATGTCCATAAATGTATTTAGCAAAACAAACCCCTAGGAGACCTGGACTGTAAAGTTCCTTGGGAAAGGAATTCTATTGAAACCAACAGGGTTTGCTTCCAAGTAAATGGGAGTTATGATTGGGCTGGTGGAACAGCTGGAAAAAGCAAGTCAGCACATGTTCCTGCTGCAAGAACAGCAGTTCAGAACCAAGCTTACAACCAATATGCTCACATTCGTAAGAAAATGAGGCATCTGATCTGCCAGAAGAATAGTGGTTGTGTATATACAGGAAAAGTCAATTTAATTCTAGCAAGCTACAGAGGAAGATATAAATCAAGTAAAGTTCAATACTTGGCTATCCTCAGTTAATAGCCCAATTATTATCACATATCCCAACACATACATACAGAGTGTCTCAATATTATTCCCCCAATCCCACAGCAGTTAATCCCAAAATCATTCCATATCCCATTCACATTAAGAATATACAGGACAGGAGAATTGCAGGCAGAGCTTCCAGGTCTTCTTATTCAGTGCTTTTCTTCAAAGCAACATACTGGCGGCATCAAGAAGTCAGAGCTAGTAAAAATACAGCAGGGCTCAAAACTGGCATCAGTTTCTTGGCTTTGTCATTTGTGACGCTGGCTGGGAAAAAAGGTCCTGGGTGCCCTTGGGAAGAGTTGATTTTTGATGGGACACTCTTAGGCAAGAGAAATCCCCTCCCCCCCACAGGCTCCTCACACAGAACATGAGTGACAGTGAGGGAGGGCAGGTCTGGATTGTCTGGAGAGAACACAGTGCCTTAAGAGGCGAAGCTGCTGCCCTGGAACCACAGCAGGCTGAGATGTTGGCAGGGAGGAAGAGAGATGGAAGGACAGAGGCAGAGAGAGGTAGATGATACTGAGCCTGGACAACAACAAGTCTGGTGGAAGAAGACTGAGGAGAGGAGAAGCACCCGTGCAGGCACTGAAGAACTGGGAATGGCTCCTGTGGGAACTGCAGGCCTTTTGCTGATATCAAACCACACTTTTTCTTATACCAGCTTCTTGGCCTCAAAGAAACTTTTAAGATGCCTCATCTGCCAGACTCCAATGGCTACAAGAATGAGGGTCTGGACAATGGACCACCAGAGAACCCGCTGGTTTGTGCTCTCACTAGTTTGCCGGAAGCGCTCCTCTCGCCACTGAGGAAAAAAGAAGAGGAGAAAACAGTTTATGAGTAGGAAAGGGGAGAGGATTCATCAAAAGCTAAAAGGATACTTTTTTAGCATGAGTTGGGGGAACAGCCGACTCTGGAAACCAAAGTTTGGCCACAGTCACATTACACATTTAAAGTACTATGATACCATATTAAACAGCCATGGCTTCATCCAAAGAATTCTGGGAGTTTATTAAGGGTGCTGAGAGTTGTAGGAGGCCTCTATTCCCCTCACACCGCTACAATTCCCACAAATCCCTATGAAGTGGGATTGCTTGTTAAACCACTCCGGGAATTGCAGCTCTGTGAGGGGAATGGGTCTCCTATAACTTTCAGCACCCTTAACAGCCTATTGTTCGGGGACTTTTTGGGAGAAGCCATGACTGTTTAAAGTGGTATCACAGTGCTTTAATCGTATTGTATGAATGTGGCTGAAGTCTACCTTCCACAAATAGCACAACCTTAACTAATAAGGGTGCATATTCCCTTTATAAAGAAGCCCTCTTCCCCTCGTCAGAACTGTATGATGTGAGGATGTTAAGCAGACCACTTCCTTTCCCAGCCTTATTATACAGAGAGCATTACTGGAGACCAGCTGAGAACCTCTTTGGAAGCTACCCATGCCAAGACAGACTAGTTGTCCATCTAGGCTGGTACAGTTTACTCTGATTGGCTGGGGCTGTCTAGGGTCTCAGGAGGAAATGTCTTCTCCATCATCTGCTGCCAGAGTCTTTTAACTGGAGGCATCAGAGAAGTGAACATGGATCTTCGGCATATGAAGCAGGTGCTCTGCCACTGAAGTACAGAGCTGGATTCAAACAAGATGTTGCACTAGTAGAAGCCAGCACAGAGAGTCCCACTAGCACAATGGGACTTCCCCCACCATCCCTGTCCTCTCAAATTAGGTCGCAAGAATCCCCAGAGTAGTGCATGGAGGGAGGAGAGAGTAGATTGTTCCATTTGGCAAGCGGAAAAAATTGTGAAGCTGGAACTATCACCTTAACATGGCATTAAATTTCACCCACAGTCCCCCTTTTTTACCCGCTGGTAGTTCTGCTCTTTCTGGATCTGTTCAATCTGCTCTAGGAGCTGGCGTACACGTAGCTGCAGCTCACTCAACTTGTCTTTGGCTGCAATCTCAGCATAGTCGTTGGCATGTTCCCCAACCTGGATATCGAGGTGGACCCTCTGCAATGAAATTCGAAACAATGTCAGCAGTGAAAACTTGGGCCTGAAGATACCCACCAAAGCATGATGCTTCAGGAGCTGGCTTGTCAAGTCAAATGAACCCAAACACAAATCTTCCCTTTGCATGAATCCTCTTACCAGCATGCCTCCCGCAAAAAGGGAAAACTTTGTGGAATTAGAATGTAGGCAGATCTGATGTTCCCCAGGTGTGTGTGAAGTAAAGGTGAATCTGCCCTCTGACCCATACTGTCGAGACAACACCACCTACAGAACAGAAGGGAATGTAACGTATGAGTCAACCAAACATACCAAAACCATTTTGATACCAGGGTTCACACAGCCATAATCAGTTAAATTAGGAAACACTGAGAATTTGTAGTACCAATATTTTAGGTTGATTACACAGATGCTTCTGGAATACTCTGCTCTGTATAATTAAAAACTATTAAGATTTCTATTGTGTACCTGAAGTCTTCTGGATAAAGTCTTCAAGCTGCATCTATTCCACCATGATATATTGCCTGTTCTACATACAATAATATATCAACATGATACACTGCCAGTTCTGCAGGCCATGAAGCCAACATCTGTAGCTCCAACAGGTGTGTGCTGAGTAGTTCTCCACAGCAAAAGGCCATGACAACAAATCAACAGCATGAAGTTTGAGATCTGCATTGTTATCTCTCAACAGTCATGCACCCAGATTCTTCTTTGGGAATGAAAGAGGTGGTCTGCAAATTATCCAAAGCTGTTCACAAAACACTGATGTAGTGAGCTCAACGTACTAGTCCTATTGCCACACAAACGGGCACAAGGGTCCAAAAATAGAACCCTGCTTCTTCATATCAAGTCTGGTGTGCCAACTTGAATAAAATATTGGGAAGGCCCAGGTAAGCCCTACCCTGCATAATCAATCACAAGAGGCAGCACATGCACACCATTTAAATGGCAATGCCCTGACTCCCTCAATTATTGTATTGGAGAGGCCAAAGGGACCTTGGCCCCTAGAAGTTGGCTCCTATGGGTGAAACACTTGCATATCAGCACACCAGACAACAGACCAGGAGAATACAACCAAGATCAGAAAAGGAAAGACCCCTTTCTCTGTACTTCTGAGCAGAAATAGTCTGTGATTACACCATACACCTGAGACACACATCTGCCCTCAGATCAACAGAGCACGTGGGCTTCTTCTGTGTCCGTATACCTTTTCATCAGGGTCCTTCACTTCCACAAACATGCCCAGGCCAGGAGTAGCCGGAAGGTACTCTTCCCGTTGCTTATCAAACAGCTGCGTCCGGTAATTCCCTGTGATATAGAAACGGAATAGGATGAGGGGAAAGTTGGCCGCCCAAACAGTTAAATAACTTAATTTCCCAGCTGAATCTCCATCACCATCTGCTATACACAGGTAAATCTCCTCCTGTGTTCCCATCTCACCCACAGTTTCATTGCCCAACTCTCTTCCCGATCGGCAGCCCCTCGAAAGCCTTTAATACCAGCAGCCCCCCCCCCAGTTCATTGCGCCCCAGATCCACCCCCTCTTTACCCTTCCCGGGCCATGAACCTGACCCCCCCCCCAGCTAGCGCCACTTTCCCCGCTCTCCCCTCCGCCGCGCCAGACGCACCGATGACCATGGTCTCGTCGGGGATCTCCTCGATGAAGCACTTGCGCTCCGTCTCGCCCAGGTGGAAGTAGAGGCCCCAGCCGGGCGAGGCGAGGCCGGCCAGCAGCAGCAAGAGCCGCAAGAGCACCGACGGGCTGCGCACGGGAGCCGCCATCACGCCGCGCCTGCGTCCCGCCTCTCCTCTGCTTCTCGAGCCACGTAATCGCTCCAGCCGGGAGGGCTGAGCAGCCGCGCGGCCTTCAGGCGGCAGGACTACAACTCCCAGCAGCCCTCGGGAAGGAAGCGGGCCGTTCGCTGGAGAGCCTCCCCTCTCCTGCAGGAGAGGTGCTGGTGTGCCATTGGTCAGAAGCGAAGGCGTATGTCGCGGGGGCGGGGATCTGCGCCTTGCCAGGTGTTTTTTTTAAATATATATAAAAAATTATGCTTTTCAGGTTTATACATTTCACTAATTTTACAAACATTTTAATATTTCAAAACTTGACTTCCTCCCCCCTCTTTCTACGGTTCCCTAAATTTATTTTTTATATCTTCTGCATATCCAAATTAGCTTAATTTGCTCATTTATTCATCTACTTTAAATATACACTGTACTCTTATAAAACTGCAGGTTATTACAATAATCCTGCCAGTCTTGCCAGATGTTTTGGACTATAATGCCCATCGTCCCTGGCCACGTGGGTTATGCTGGCAGAGGACTGATGTAGGTTCCAGTGCAACATTTGGAAAGCATCACCTGGCTAACGGCATCCCGTCTTCCTTAGCACCTCCAAACCCCTTTAGACACTGCTGTCCTAGAATACGCCTCACACTCTCTCCCTGACTTCTGGAACAGAAACTGCTGCAGCCAGAGCACAAGCCTGACCTAGTTTCTCAAGTATTGGGAGTGCAGAAACCCAGTTCAAAATGCACTGAAGGTGTGATAACAGGAATGGCCTGGATTTTCTGTCTTGGTCAGACCACACCTGGAGTACTATGTCCACTTCTGGGCACCCCAATTTACGAAGGATGTTGACAAGCTGGAACATGTGCAGAGGGCGGCCAAGATGGTCAAGGGTCTGGAAAGCAAGCCTTACAAGGAATGGTGGAGGGTGTTGGGTATGTTTAGTCTAGTAAAGAGGAAACCGAGAGGAGATATGATTAGCTACCTTCAAATATCTCAAGGGCTGTCACATGGAAGATGGCGCAAGTTTGTTTTTTCCTGCTTGGGAATGTAGGGCTTGAACCAATGGATTCAAGTTACAAGAAAGGCAATTCCAACTATGTAGCATTAGGAAGAGCTTTCTGTGGTAAGAGTTGTTTTACAGTGGAATAGATGACCCCAGGTGACGGACTCTCCTTCACTGGTTTTTTAAGTAGAGGTTGGATGAGCATCCATCATGGATACTTTAGTTGAGGTTCCTGTATTGCAAGGGGTTGGACTAAGATGCCCCTTGGGGTCTCTTCCAACGCTACAATTCTATGATTCTAAGAGCAAGGACAGAGGTGGGCAGAAGTGTGTCAGCAGGCTCCTTCTATGCCAGCTTTTAAATATCTGCTGAAAGCTTTTATATTGAGCCAGGCCAATGCAAACAGTTAAGAGTACACTCCACACAATTATTATTAATTACATTTGCATACCACCCTATACTGATAGATCTCAGGGTGAGTCACAACATATCACAGTAGTTCACAACATGGTCTACTGTTTGTTTTTAATTTTTTGGCTTTAAACTTTTTACGATTTGACTGGTTTTATATTTTTATAAACCACTTTGATATATTTTTATGATACAGACGTATATAAGTATTTTCATAAATCAGATATCATTGCCCAGTGGAAAGTTGTTATCATCATACTTTCAGGCTTCAGAGAAGAACATATTCCTTCCATCTGCCCTGCTAAGAAGCCACCTGCATCTGGTCTTCCCTCAACTATTACCTAATGGCAACAATACTGTCAACTACCTAAACCAGGCTTCCTCAACCTCGGCCCTCCATATGTTTTTGGCCTACAACTCCCATGATCCCTAGCTAGCAGGACCAGTGTTCAGGGATAATGGGAATTGTAGTCTCAAAACATCTGGAGGGCCGAGGTTAAGGAAGCCTGACCTAAACTGTTTCCATCTTAGCTGAACTATAACTTTAAGAACTGATGTATGAGTGTGTTTTCCTCCTCCCTTTTCATATTTTTTCCTTGCATGTCATGTCTTTTAGATTATAAGACTAAAAGCCTGGATTACCTTAAAACTGCTCTTCAGAAGATCCTCTTTTAGAAACACCTGCCTGGCTGTAGTAAAAGACACTCACAAGAGTGTAGGGCCAACAGCAGAAGAGCCTTCCATAGCACAGAAATAAGCAGCTGGCAGCATTTACATGCACTCACTTTATCATTTATTTACTGAAATCATTTTACAGTGGTACCTCAGGTTAAGTACTTAATTCGTTCCGGAGGTCCATACTTAACCTGAAACTGTTCTTAACCTGAAGCACCACTTTAGCTAATGGGGCCTCCTGCTGCCACCGCGCCGCTGGAGCATGATTTCTGTTCTCATCCTGAAGCAAAGTTCTTAACCTGAAGCACTATTTCTGGGTTAGCGGAGTCTGTAACCTGAAGCATATGTAACCTGAGGTACCACTGTAGTCTTGTTCTTTAAGGGAAATGATCTATGTTAAGTAACCTCCAACTTTTCCAATTATTAAACATGAACAATGCTTAGCTTACTTACTGAGAAAGATTGCAAATCTTTCTGCACCTAAAAATGCAGTTAAGAAATAAGGCTCTTTTTCTTACTGAACTCCTTACACACCTACATTTTTAATAATTCACTGAAAATAATTCACCACCTGCAGTGTGAAGTGATACATACCAAGTCCAACATGAGCCCAAGCCACAAGGCTACATCACATTAAAGGCCCCATTAACCCACCATTCTTACTCATACTCCATAAAATTAAGACAAACAGCAGCTGAGGTCAGTTTTCCACTTTTATTTCACACACCCTCTCTTTCACCCATCATCTTGCAGATCCACACGCAGCTATGTGGCTATGGCAAGGTCCCACCACCAGAACCACCTAGTTCAGAAGTTTAATGCGATGATTCAGAGCAGGACCTGAATGTCTGTGACCAAATTTTGGCATATACTCCACAATAACTGGAAAAAATCAAGTTCCCACTCTCTCAGACCAATGCAATCACAGGTTCCATCACCAAAGGGGGGGGGCGGGAGAGATCACATTTGATAGTCACCAGTTGTTTTGGTGTAAATTAGTCTCACTTTCAGCAGTAGAGAAAGAGCTGGTACTAAAAGGAAGTACCAGGGCCAGTGAGATTACAAAATACATTCAGTTCAAAACATCCACCTTGAAGGCGGCTTACGGGCAAGAAAATTGCTGCCAGCAGTCAGCAGGACTCCGGACATATTGCCCTGTTAGAGAAACACCAACACATACTAGCTGGGATGCAGAGTCATGCCCCACAGAGGAGGAAACCCACCTCTAACCACAGTTCTTTCCCCCCCTTTTAAAAAAAGGTGTTAAAGAGGGGCTGACGGCTCTGAATAGTATTCAGAAAGAGAGAAAAGGTGCTCCCCCTACCTTCCTGATTGTTCTGACATATGTTGTCGGGCTTGTGCTGCCAGGTGGGGGGGGGGGAAGATATGAAAATAATCCGTGTGTTTCTCTGAAAGAGCCTTTTCGAAGCCAGAGTCTATACAATTCTCCCTCCCCCCTGTAAAAAATATTCCCAAATGCCCAGAATGTGGGCTTGCTTCCCCCTCTAGTAAAATCGCTTGTTCCGCTCCTGGCGTTTCTGGAAGACCACGGCTCCCACCACAGCACAAACAATGATGCCAAGCAGAGAACACAGGAGCAAGAGGAACACCTTCCAACCCGTCAAGGGCCCGCTGCGGAAGTTTCCTGTCGGGTCATCCACGTTATCTAAAGGAGAGGAGGTGGGAAAGAGAAGTAGAGAGAGAGAGATTTTACAACACACATCACACTCTCAGGCTATACAGGAAATGGGTTAATACAATCCCTAAGAATCAGCGGTCGAAATTTGCCAGGAGCCAGGCGCATTTTGCACCTGGCTATTGACCACTTGTGACCAAGTGAAGATGCCCGGGTGCCAGAATGGTACCCGACATCTCTCATCATCTGGTGGTGCATGCCTGAGGATCCTTGGATCTTGACTGTTTTCACACACTAACAACACAACCTGCGTTGCTATATTTTATCTGCACAATCAGAATGAATTTTAAGAACCGAAAAGTCGTATTGAAAAATACGAATCTCAAGCCACCTGGCCCCAAAATGCCAACAAGGCATTCTATTTTGGTGAATGTAACCCTAGTATTAGAAGCCATTTGGTGCCTATAGTTTATATATCTGAGATTCTAGCACTGCCAAGAATGCACAGAGTGTGTAGGGAAAAGAGGAGAAGGCATGCCACCTGTCTTCAAATATTGCTCTGTTCCACCCTCAGCTGTCTTGCATTGAGCAGGAAGGCCTGAAAAGGGGCTTCTAAGCATATTTGGCTGAATGTACTTGGAAATCTCCCTGTGATCAGCTATCCTGCGTTATCAAGGTTCCTGATCACAAGAATGCTTCTAAGTATGCTCAGACAACAGTGATAAAATGACGTTCTCAGTGGTGCAGCCACAGAGGCAGACTGGTTGGCATTAACCCATGACAGGGCCTTTTCATTGGTGGCTACTAATTTGTGGAATGTCCTCTCTAGTGAGGTGAGCCATTCACTAGGAATTTGAAAACATTCCTGTGTGTCCAGGCATTTAGTGACTGAAGAATACTGCTCTTGGCAGCTCTTGATACCATAGGATGAAATAATGTTTTTAACTGTAACTGCTTTTAGAATCCCCACCCCCAATTGTGGATATGTTTACCACCCTGGGGAGAGAGGGTGGGATAGAAATATAATAAAATAATAAAAATAAATTTAAAACTTCCTTCATATCTTTACACTCATGGATGGTGGAGAGATGGGGATCACTGGGGTATGGATGGCACATGCATACCTATACACATTTCAAAGTATTTTTTTTTAATCAATTCCAACTTTTATTATTACTTAATTAAATTTCTATAACTCCCTTCATCCAAGGATCACAGGACAGTTTACAATATTAAACACAAAAATACATAAGAAACTAGCAAACAAAGCAATAACCCCCACCTACAGTTTAAAAGGACATAGATTGGCTAATTAACCAAAGGCCTGGGAGAAGAGGAATGTTTTTGCCTGGTCCTAAATATATTCAA